ACATCCATTGAAGTTGAACCAGTAAAATGAAGATCTGGGATAGGTGAATGGGCCAGAGTTTTACTTACCATGCATTTCCCTAACCTATACTCTGTCTCTTCTATCGGGTTTAGAGAAGCCCTACATTCATTCTATTGCTGTTGTATAAAGAAATCATACTGGACCCTTCACCAGTCTTTTCCGTAAAGATCTGACTTGTTTGATTTTAAATGAATAGTTTTTATTTTTCAGTTTATAATTATTGATTATGATTTTAAGACACTCGTGTGAGCTATGCCTTTAGCTCATTTTAGTGCGGAACATTCTTGTTTAATGAGTAAATTACATCTATGTGATACATTCCTAAGATGTCCTAAGATAGCCTTCTAGTGAAATTCCCATTTTGTTTGAGGGGAAAAAAATAAATTCTTCTGATCTATAAACATTGCAAGATATGTTCTTCAAAATAGTTTCCCCCTCAATGATTGCCTTCAAATGCCAATATCCAACACTATCTTTCGTCCTCCTCAACAGAGGTGCTACAGACAACATCCCAGCCTGCTCAGCGTGGCCTTCCTGGCATTAAATCACACAGCGGACAGCATAAAGCATGGCATGTCTACATTGTAAACTAAGGAAGACAAGAAAGAATAGATTGTCTGCAGCCAGAATGATGGACTCATTCAGGAGCAGCAGGAAGTAGGTTTACATACTGGATTGTTCCTTTTCTTTAAAAGAAAGCATTGAGCAAAAAATATACACACTACAACAAAGCCTTCAAATGTAAACACTGACCATTTCCAAAGAACCTCGAACAGTAGGAGGTAAACATTGGACTGCAAGAAAGTAAATGAACTGGCTCGTTCCCAACTTTTACAATTCTACAATCAAGGGGAAACTCAAAATATATTATTACAGCCGGAAGTGCATAGACAATCTGACTGCCTATCCGAGTATGCATAGGACGCCAATAGGGGTTGGAGGGTCAATGAGACGCCACTAGGGGTTGGAGGGGGGGGGGGGGGGGCATAAGGTGGGGAACTAACTTTTATTGGTGGACATCCTTATTAAAAAAAACAGGAATGCAGGATAATTAGACAAAACACATTTTGGAGGTAGCACTGAATGCCAATGATTTTCATCCTATTGACTCCTCCAAACATGCCCTTGTTCACCAGATTTGTCATCAACTTTGTTTACATATTGGATTTGTAACTGAATTGCAAAACATACGAGCAGCTGTTCACACAGGCAGCAGCCCTTGCCACCTTCTGAAATGCAATTCGTGGGGAACTGCTTATCAAAGGGTATTAATGCAGCAGAATTCAGACTGTTGTACTTTCTCCTCCTGAATGCTTTTTTTGGATAGCCAAAATGATAATTTTGCATGTAAAGATTGTCCTTCAAGCATTAGGCTTGTGGTGAGGTCTAGAGATGAGCGAATCGAAGTAGGCGAAGTGGAATTCGTTTCGAATATTAGGAAAATTTCGATTCGCGTCGAATCCGAAAATAAGCAGACTTCGGATGCGCGAATCGAAATTTTTCCTAAAATGGCGGCGACATGTGCGGCGACGGAGCGGGGATGTCTGGGAAGGCGCGCAGACAAGGCGCGCTGACCCATAATGCATTCATTCGTGACATGTGATCGCATTAGCCAATCAGCAGCCAGCCAGCCAGCACAGTGTAATGGTCGAGCTATAAATGGCGGCCATTTTAGAATTCTCCATTTGCCTCCAGTCATTCAACAGAGGCAGACCTGGCTGTATTCAGGGAGAGAGTTAGGGACAGAGAAACGTTACTTAGGGTCACAGAAACGTTAGTTAGGGCCACAGAATCGTTACTTAGGGCCACAGAAACGTTACTTAGGGCCACAGAAACGTTACTGAGGGACACAGATACGTTACTTAGGGCCACAGAAACGTTACTTAGGGCCACAGAAACGTTACTTAGGGCCACAGAAACGTTACTTAGGGCCACAGAATTGTTACTTAGGGACAGACACAGAATTGTTACTGAGGGCCACAGAATTGTTACTTAGGGACAGACACAGAATTGTTACTGAGGGACACAGATACGTTACTTAGGGACAGACACAGAATTGTTACTGAGGGACACAGAATTGTTACTGAGGGCCACAGAATTGTTACTGAGGGACACAGAATTGTTACTCAGGGACAGACACAGAATTGTTACTGAGGGACACAGAATTGTTACTGAGGGACACAGAATTGTTACTGAGGGACACAGAATTGTTACTGAGGGACACAGAATTGTTACTGAGGGACACAGAATTGTTACTGAGGGACAGACACAGAATTGTTACTGAGGGACAGACACAGAATTGTTACTGAGGGACAGACACAGAATTGTTACTGAGGGACACAGAATTGTTACTGAGGGACACAGAATTGTTACTGAGGGACACAGAATTGTTACTGAGGGACACAGAATTGTTACTGAGGGACACAGAATTGTTACTGAGGGACACAGAATTGTTACTGAGGGACACAGAATCGTTTAAATTAAAGAGTATGTCAGACAACATGCAGAGGAGTGGCAGAGGAGGCAATGTTTTAGGAGCGAGCAGACGTGGCAGCAGAGGAAGGGGTCGAGGCAGCACTATTCGCAGCCAGAGGCCAGTGCTCCCGGTGTCATCCAGTACAGTGAGGAAGAGCTAACAGAGGGCGGTCAGGAACGGGGGGAGACATCCGCCTCTTCAGCAGCCAGGCGAAGAAGTAGTGGCGAGGAGAGTGGCTCGGTAGCGGTCTAGAGACAGGACTGTCTCCTGACCCACACGCAGCCGAGGGGGCTAGTAGTGAGGCGGAGACCCTAATTGATGATGATGAGGCTGATCGCACTTGGCAGCCTTGTCGTCATCAGGCTATTGCTTCCGCATCATCAGGAGAAGAGGGTGGCAGCTTGGCAGCGAGCAAAACAGTCGGTGGGTTGTCTCCATCGCCACACTCTGCAATGTGCCACTTTCAGGTCTCCTCACACACACTGCTGGTGTGTTCCATTTTTTGTCATAGGGTGCTGGCAGATTACGGGCCTCCCATAGCTGCTGCCAGGCCCCTAATCTGCCATGGGCCCCTGTATCGCCTCCTCATGCTGCTGCCAGGTCCACAGTGTCTCATGCCATGTGCCACTTTCAGGTCTCCTCACACTGCTGGTGTGTTCCATTTTTTTGTCATAGGGTGCTGGCAGATTACGGGCCTCCTATAGCTGCTGCCAGGCCCCTAATCTGCCATGGGCCCCTATACCGCCTCCTCATGCTGCTGCCAAGTCCAGAGTCTCTCATGGGTCCCTGTACGGCCTCCCATTGCTGCTGTCTCCATCGCCACAATCTGCCATGTGCCACTTTCAGGTCTCCTTACACTGCTGGTGTGTTCCATTTTTTGTCATAGGGTGCTGGCAGATTACGGGCCTCCCATAGCTGCTGCCAGGCCCCTAATCTGCCATGGGCCCCTGTACCGCCTCCTCCTCATGCTGCTGCCAGGTCCACAGTGTCTCATGCCATGTGCCACTTTCAGGTCTCCTCACACTGCTGGTGTGTTCCATTTTTTTGTCATAGGGTGCTGGCAGATTACGGGCCTCCTATAGCTGCTGCCAGGCCCCTAATCTGCCATGGGCCCCTATACCGCCTCCTCATGCTGCTGCCAGGTCCAGAGTCTCTCATGGGTCCCTGTACGGCCTCCCATTGCTACTGTCTCCATCGCCACACTCTGCCATGTGCCACTTTCAGGTCTCCTCACACTGCTGGTGTGTTCCATTTTTTGTCATAGGGTGCTGGCAGATTACGGGCCTCCCATAGCTGCTGCCAGGCCCCTAATCTGCCATGGGCCCCCGTACCGACTCCTCATGCTGCTGCCAGGCCCGTAATCTGTCATGGGCCCCTGTTGTCGCTTGTTGGCATATTCCGCTCGTTCAGATGCTCCTTCTCCTGCTACTCCTCTTCACGGATTCCGTCAGCAGTCTTTCTTGGAATCCGTTTCCAAGAGACAACAGTTTGCGAGCACGCACCCGACGGTGCAGAAGCTGAACGTCCTCCTGTCCAAGTTGCTGCTGCCAGGCTCGTAATCTGTCATGCGCCCCTGTACCGCCTCCTCATGCTGCTGCCAGGTCCAGAGTGTGTCATGGGCCCCCGTACCGACTCCTCATGCTGCTGCCAGGCCCGTAATCTGTCATGGGCCCCTGTACCGCCTCCTCATGCTGCTGCCAGGTCCAGAGTGTGTCATGGGTCCCTGTACGGCCTCCCATTGCTGCTGTCTCCATCGCCACACTCTGCCATGTGCCACTTTCAGGTCTCCTCACACTGCTGGTGGTTTCCATTTTTGTCATAGGGTGCTGTATGGCCTCCCATTGCTGCTGCCTCCCCCGCCACACTGTGGCTCCACACTCTGGTTTTGGCCCCGTGACTGCCCAAATGAGTGAAGTGTGCGGTGATTCTAAGATCGACGGCACTCATCTGCATGTCATACCGACTGTCAGTATTATTTCTCTTCCCCAGCAGACTCCAAGGGCATTTAAATTAAAGGTACAGTGTTCTGCACTAATATAAAGGCTCTCTGAAGCCTAGAAACACCCTTTTATAAGTTAAATTCGCAGCGAATATATTCGACTGGAATCGAAATTTTTCCACGAATTCGCCGAATCAGTCGAATCGAATTTTTGAATACTTCGCTCATCTCTAGTGAGGTCCCATTCACTTGAATGGTTTGGTGGCAGTTATAATAAAAGCAACCTGTGCGCGATAACAGTGTACAACAATATATGTATAAATGGATGAGTAGAATAATCTGCTGCCGCTAAGTCCTTATATGATCACACCACATATCTAAAATGCAATATAATAGACAGGACCAACGCTAAACAATGAAAGTTAACCTCCCTGGAGGTATTCCCGAGTGTAGCTTGGAGTAAAGTGTCAGCACCACAAGCGGTAACCCTGAGCTACACTCGGGAATACCTTGTGGTGCTGCTCCGGGATTCCTTCTGCACTTATCTTGTCCTCTGCTCCCGCGATGTCCCTCCTGCAGCAGTGTCCCCGGCAATGTCCTCCGGCTGATGCCGGCATCTGTCTTCTGGGTTCTGTTCCCTGCGACGACGGGACGTATGGGGGACGGAACCCGCAGGAAATTTAAAAATGTGAAAAAGTGACATTCACTAAATACAGCAATGTTATACTGTGTGATTTTAGTGTATCAAACCATTTCACATACATTTTGTCCCGAGTGCTTTGTCCTGTGCCCTGCCTGCATTTTTACCATTCTTTCTGCCTGGAAACTGAGAAAAGTCCATGGCGTCCCAAAAGAGTCCTTTTAGGTCAAAAGCGGTTTTAGATCAGCTAGAGAACAGCGATAGTAAATCAGAACCACTTGCAGAATTGAGTGATAATGATTCGTGGGGAAATTCGCCAGACACTGAAAACGATTTTGCGACTTTGCTCAGTGATGTGCGAACTTGGCGCTATATTTCAAATTTAGTGTTTTTGGTTTGATTATTGAATTAAATTTATTATTATATTTTTTATGATTATTTTCTAAATTATAATTTATGATTTCGTGTTTTAAATTTTAACATACCCGGGATGTTTACTAGACTCTTGTTCGGACAGATTTCAGTGAGTTAATCCTAAAAATTACAGGCCTACAATAAAAAAAATACATATTTCCATGCAAAAAAAAAAATGTACCGCTTTGAGCACAGAAATACTGACATAATCAGACCGCTAGGGAGGTTAACGTTAATGGAAACGCTATGCCAAATCCTCTGTGCATATCATAATACCCGCTGGATTGGTAAGAAATGTATCAGTGTTAATGTAACCATTCATCAAAACATTGTGAAATGTGAAACATTCAAGTGAAAGTCTCAATAAAGAAAGTTCCCTTCTGTCCAAGTGTTCAAAGAAAATGGTAAACTGGAATCACCACTTGTGAAGAACCTTCACCTTCAGTCTCTCACCTGATGGCTATACCTACTGAACTTTGGTCTGATCGATGCTTTTAACCCCATTGTCCCTGGATTATGGGGATATCCTTCAGCTATAGGTCCTCCAAACGGTCGATAAAAGGCGATATACCGGTTATATGAAGAGAAGTACCCTTGCACGTTACGCCTGCGTGGCTTCATCAGAGGGTGACCCTCCGACGAAGCCACGCAGGCGTAACGCGTAAGGGCGCATTGTGGAGTGAGTGACATTCAAGTACCGGCTACCGCTCTATTGCCGGCAGGACCATATGGATCACATTGACAGGAGTCCATTAGGAGACGAGAGGGGAGAGAGCAGTGACCCCCCTCACGGAGCTTCCACCAACTGCGGGCAACCATTAGGATTAACATCTTGATACCGCTGTTATCAGCGTGATCAGACCGAAGTTCAGTAGGTCTAACCATCAGGTGAGAGACTGAAGGTGAAGGTTCTTCACAAGTGGTGATTCCAGTTTACCGTTTTCTTTGAACACTTAGACAGAAGGGAACTTTCTTTATTGAGACTTTCACTTGAATATTTCACATGTTAATTTGATGAATGGTTACATTAACACTATGATGCATTTCTTACCAATCCAGCAGGTATGATACGCATAAAAGATTTGGCATAGAGTTTCCATTAACGTTAACCTCCCTAGCGGTCTGATTATGTCAGTATTTCTGTGCTCAAAGTGGTATATTTTTTTTTTTGCATGGAAATATGTATTTTTTTTTATTGTAGGCCTGTAATTTTTAGGAATAACTCACTGAAATCTGTCCGAACAAGAGTCTAGTAAACATCCCGGGTATGTTAAAATTTAAAACCCGAAATCATAAAATTATAATTTAATAAATAATCATAAAAAATATAATAATAATAAATGTAATTCAATAATCAAACCAAAAACACTAAATTTGAAATATAGCGCCAAGTTCGCACATCACTGAGCAAAGTCGCAAAATCGTTTTCAGTGTCTGATGAATTTCCCCACGAATCATTATCACTCAATTCTGCAAGTGGTTCTAATTTACTATCGCTGTTCTCTAGCTGGTTGGAATAGAGTTTCCATTAACTTTATCATTCTTTTCTGTAGCGCTGTCCTGTCTATTATATTGTTTGGTAGCAGTACTGCCCGCCAAAGGTGACAGTGCTATAATTCTTTGCAGTGGATAGTTTTAGGTGGGCAGTCAGGGGGTCGTATAAACCACAGCTCAACCACCTGTTTTTACTATGGTAATGAGGGATTCAGTGAGCGCTAACCGACACAGCAGCTGATACACTAAAAAGGAAAACCATCAACCTTCAAATAAACAATATAAGATAAATAGTGCAGCGCTTGATGTTATATGACTGTACCAGTATTGGAGATGGTACAATATCCCTTACTTAAATGTCAGCAGATGTGGACCATATGCATTATATGTGACCAAACACACTATATGTGATCCTCCCATGAGTTGGAAACAGGAGGAGGAGAAGGAATGACATGAACTCCAACAATTTTCACTTCACAATACAAAACGCACAATATAATGCACAATATAGTCCAATCATCAAAGAAACACAGATGAGTGTATCCCGATGAGATCTTTGTAATGCATGTAGTCCGGCAATGTGCAGAAGAAATGAATGAATTGCGCACTCACCGGAAGCACAATTTAAATGTGCGTTTGTGTCTCATACACCAAAGATCACTCCGACTGTGGATGAAAGGAAAACTCCAAAAGATGGTTCTATGATGAAAATTTGATGACCCATCTGGGGATTCCTACTGGCATACAGGTTCCAAACAGGATCAGCTGGATATATCTCCTTAAGGAGTAGCCCTTGTTAGCCGTGACGCTAAACCGCCGGATCAAAGGAGGTCCGGCGGCCACTCTTCTATACCAGCTGGTCAGTGTGTCATTCATGATATCCTTAGTGCACAAGGATTGATTTTATTCTCATTTTTTATGTTAAGTGTGGTGTTTTTTAACATACAATAAATTTTTTTCATAATTTAACATAAATACTACACTATGGGCATTCCTTTTTTGCTCCACATCGAGCATTTAATTCCTCAGGACCACCAGGCGATTACTCCAAAGCTCAGAGATATATCCAGCTGATCCTGTTTGGAACCTGTATGCCAGTAGGAATCCCCAGATGGGTCATCTTTCATCATAGAACCATCTTTTGGAGTTTCCTTTCATCCACAGTCGGAGTGATCTTTGGTGTATGAGACACAAACGCACATTTAAAATTGTGCTTCCGGTGAGTGCGCAATTCATTCATTTCTTCTGCACATTGCCGGACTACATGCATTACAAAGATCTCATCGGGATACACTCATCTGTGTTTCTTTGATGATTGGACTATATTGTGCATTTATATTGTGCGTTTTTGTATTGTGAAGTGAAATTGTTGGAGTTCATGTCATTCCTTCTCCTCCTCCTGTTTCCAACTCATGGGAGGATCACATATAGTGTGTTTGGTCACATATAATGCATATGGTCCACATCTGCTGACATTTAAGTAAGGGATATTGTACCATCTCCAATACTGGTACAGTCATATAACATCAAGCGCTGCACTATTTACCTGTTTTTACTGCCACATCCCGACTTATAAACGTGTGATAAAAAACCCCACAAAACTAACCAACAGAATGGGACTTTTGAGGCACAACGTTATACAATAAAATCCAATTTTATTATATGCGATATACAAAAAACTGCTTATATTACAACAAATGGATGTTGTAATATAAGCTGTTTTTTTGTATATCGCATATAATAAAATTGGATTTTATTGTAGAACGCTGTGCCTCAAAAGTCCCATTCTATTGGTTCGATTTATTTTCACATTAATAATAACTTGTTGACATTTGAGCCATGTCCTCTCTAGGGAGATGAAGGGAGTTGCAGGCTCCAGCACTCACATCTCTACGACTTTATGCCCTATTGGGATACTGCAGATCCTACGCTTTCCATCAGCAAAGCAACATCTTCAAAAGTTTCAAATTTGTAGGGAACCCAAACGTGTGGCAGGATCCACCCTTGTCTGTGGTTGGCTAGAGAGGGAGCAGAAATCTATAGATTAGGTCAAGAATGGTCTTTCATCTACCTGTTCTATATCGAAACGCCCAATTTTACAGTACAGTATCACTTTTCCAGCTTGATCTTGCTGTGCAATAAAGTAGGTTAAGGTATACTAAAAGGTACTATTTATACACACATTTAGGCAATTATATAAATTACATTCAAATTTGTTTATGTAAATTTTCTTTTCAAGGTTTCATGCCTTGACAAAGATGGATTGCGATCCATCGAAATGCTTTACAGAATAATTTCCTCGTTTGGCCACGTACTTTCACTGCTCAAGACTCACAATTGCCTCTAGCACTTTCTATTTATCTACGAAGGTTCAGGTCTATATAGCGAGAAAGCGCAAGGAAACAAATACAAGGACCGCTCTTCGCTTCAATGTATATCTATAGCTGGATTTGGGGAGATGTAAAACATGTAGATGGTAACAGAACCATCATCACTCAACAGGGATTATTTATTATACAGGATTTATATAGCACCAACAGTTTGTTCGGAGCTTTATAAAATGAAGGTAGACATTACAGTTACAATACAATTAGGTACAAGTGGAAACAGAGGGTCCGGCTCGTTAGAGCTTACAATCTAAGAGGAAGGGTTGAGTGATACAAAAGGTAATCCCACATGGAAGAAAAATATATTTGAAATCGATTTTAAAAATATTCTTCCCAAATATGTTGACATATTATTATTATACAGGATTTGTATAGCGCCAACAGTTTGCTCAGCGCCTTACAATGGGAGACAATACAGCAACAATACAGTTCAATACAAGAGGGAAAGGAGGGCCCTGCTCCATGGAGCTTAAAATCTACATATATTTGAAATGCCAATGTAAAAAAAAAAAAAAAAAAATCTATTTTTAAAAATATATATATTTTTTAAAACATATTCAGATTTTTTTTTAAACATATAAAAAAGTCATATATATATATATATATATATATATATATATATATACATACATACAAAGCACAGACTACCACACACAATTATACATATTCATACACACACACACACACACACACACACACACATATATTTGTAAAAATGCATTCCAAAAATGTAGATTTGTATTTTTAAAGACATACGGTATATTTGATGAAATTTATGTTTAAAAAAGTATTTTTCATATATTTTGTAATAAAAACGCACTTCAACATGCAATATATATATATATATATATATAATATATATATAATATATATATAATGTATTTATTTAAATATATTGAGTATGGCCATATTTGAGCATTTCAAATATATATCAATATATTTGGGAAGAATATTTTTAAAATATATTTCCAATATATTTTTTATTCCATATGGGA